AGGTCAACCTGTCAGGACCAAAACACCTGCCACCTGGAGCAATGCCCTCGAAGGGGATCATGCCGATCATGTTCAAACCAGAGCGTACAAGCAGGCCAGTGTCCCTGGAGCAGAGACAGGGGTGGTAGCAAATGAGGTAAAGCTTGATTGGGGGGTTGGGAAGGCAGGTTAGATAATTAACCTTGATCACCATTCTAAGCAAAGTGTCTAACCTCCTTTTGGAATTTTTCAGCAACAAAGAATGACCACTTGTGATAAGATGCAAAAAACTATGAGCTTAAGAGTGAAACACACCTGAGTCACACTTGTGTGATACTGGGCAGCTTTTTCAGCCTCTCTGAGCATCAGGTTTTTATCTGTAAAGTGGGACAGTAGCTGTATAATTGCCATGAGGTTTATAATTAACGTAGATCAAGTGCCAAGCGCAGTGCCCAGCACCCTCTCAGAGCTCACTAAGGGCAGTGAGCACTGAGAGGACACAGAGCTGTCTCTTTGTTTCATCTACAATTAGGCTGCGAGGGAGACTGGCTCTGGGTGTCCAGTGGGCATCTTGTTGTCCTTATAATTCAACTCAGTGCAGTAACTCAGAGGGTTTGGCTCGTGTGTCCTGGGTCTGCTGGGCTGACTATAAATCAAACACGATTCAAGATACATCCTGGAGCTTTATATGCTTTGGGTTGTCCTCAGTCATAAACACTGTTTCAGTCTTATATTGAAGTCAAATGGTTGCTTTTAAATTAGTGGTATTTTCGTGAAGTATAGAACCAGCTATTACTGACTTGACTGAGGGAACTTGCAGCTGGTGATTATAAGCTAAAGTGACCTAATGGTAGGTGTCTGTGTGAAAGAGTATAATTTGTGACTAGCACTGTTGTCCCATTATCTCTAATCCCAATGAGGGGCATGTGGTGATTCTCTTTCAATGATCCAAGTTCAAGCCACCTTCCTTCCTGCTCAGAATCTTGCATTGGCCTTTTTTTTGGCACCTTGCACCTCTCTGACCACTCCTGAAAACAGCAGCCTAGTCAGCTCCTCCAGAGCGATATTCAGATCACATCCGTTATTGGCTTTAAAACACCATCGGTGCTTCACTGCAGCATAGAATCACAACAAGGTCTCTCTCTGGAGATGGAACCTGCTCTAATTAAATGCTATTTCAGGCCTTCAGTTCCATCTACACTAATGTGTTTTTTAAAATACCCTGACTGGGGCTTCTGGTCAAGATGGAGCACTGTGTGAACACTGCTTTCATCTCCTCCATGACCACACCCAACTTACAACTAAGTTATAGAAGACAAGCTGGACAGAAGTCCTATAACTAAGGATATAAAGAAGAATCCACATGGAGCCTGATAAGAGGAGTGGAGACATGAAACCGGCTGGTCCCACACCCACATGTGGCAGTTAAGAATCACGAGGGATATCTCAGCTTCCAAGGTCCCACTAACAAGCAAGGGGTTCAGCCAAACACTGAGGTCCCCAGCCCAGAGCCCCAGTGCCAGGGAGAGGAGTCCCCACAACAGCTAGATGTGAAAACCAGGGATTCCTTCCAGGTGAGGCAGAGGGCTGCTGTAGACCCAGGAGTCCTCTTAACGGGCCCGCACACAGACTCACTAGCTCACAAACACCTTAAGCTCCAGCGAAGGGAAAGCATCTCAGAAAGCATCAGGGATTTATAGGGAGGAACTGAATGGTCTGGTTTCTAGGGAAGGGTGGGAAGGGCAGCTTTCTCCAGGACTAAAGTTCCAGCAGGTACCATTGTTTCTCTGTTGAACTCTCAGCCCACACCACCTGCAGGTGCAGGCTGTCACCAAATCTGAGTCTCCATTAACCCGGCTAGCACTGCTCTTGCCCAACCCTGGTAATTCTCTGAGAACCTGCCCCACCCAATTTGCCAAACCTCTTTTAGGGGTAATCCACGCAAGCAGCCAGCCTGAGCCCACCCTGCAGACTTTCCTAAATCTCTCAAAGATCCCGAACCCCAACAAGCAGTAGTTATCCTCAGCATGCCCTCTTGCTAAGTGGCCCCAAGCCCTGCACTAGTGGCAGCTGGTCTCAGTTCACAGCATAATTGTTTCCAGGATCTTCCCAGGCTCCTCACAGCATAATCAAGCCCAGCATAGGCACCTAGCAAGTACCAGGTGGCCCTGAACTGGACACAGGCAGTGATTGAACTTGGCCTTAACCGTAGTCCCTAGCCCAATATCAATATCCCACAATCAATATACCTGGTGGCTAGCTTCAGACGACACAAGAAGACCACTCAGTTAGTAGTGCCACAAACATCACACCCAAAGGGTAAACTTGACAGGCATCAGAGCCTGCTAATGTGGATCCTGTTCCATGGGGCCAGCTCCCACAATAAAAGTTTGTCTGCTCTAGTCATGGCCAGTTCTCACAGACAGTCAGCCTGAAGGTCAATCCCACCCACTGATATGCCAACAACAATCAAGTCTCAACTACAATAGAAAAGCACACACAAGGTACACCCCTAGAGAAGCTGGCTCAGACGGCTAGGGAGACTGCATCACTGGGTCCCACAGGACACATACTGCATGAAGCTACTCTGCTAATACTGAGAGACATAGCAGATCTACTTAAGACATAGAAAAAATACAGGGAGGCATCCAAAATAAGACAAATAAACATGCCCCAAATGAAAGAGTAGGATAAAACTCCAGAAAAGAAACTAAAAAAAAACCATAAAGACAAGCAACCCACCAGAGGTGGAGTTCAAACTATAGCTGATACGGAGGCTCAGTGAACTTAGAGAAAGAATAGACTATTTCAGTGAGAACTTCAACAAAGAGCTAGAAAGAATTAAAAAGGAGTTAGCATAAAAAAGAACTAGTCAGAAATGAAGAACACAATAACTAAAATTAAAAATATATTAGATGAAACCAACAGCAGATTACATGAAGCAGACAATCAAATCAGCAATTTGGTAGACAAGGTAGCAGAAAACAGATTTAAATGAGAATCATTTAGGGACCTCTGGGACAACTTTAAGTGTAACAACCAATATTAAAACTGGTACAAAGCTTAAAAGGCAAATGTAGGAAGATCACATATAATTTCAACAGTAAATTAAAGGCTACACACATGCATACACGCACACAAAATAAGTAAAAAATAATGACAAAAACATAAACAAGGAGGGGCTAAAAATGGTAGTTATTTTAGAATGACAATCAGCTTACAATAGACTGCTGTGAATGTAGCTTGGTATATATGAATTATATGGAAACCACAAACCAAAAATCTACAAGAGAGAGACAGTTATCCAAATGCAACATTACAGAAAGTCATCAACGAACAAGAGCATAGAATAAGACTATAAGAAAGAAACAGAGAACCACAAAAACAATCAGAACACAATAAAATGACATTAACTACGTATCTAGATACTACTTTAAATGTAAATGGATTAAGTTCTTCAATTGAAAAGGTGCTGGATAAAGAAGAGGTAGTACATATATACAATGGAATTTTACTCAGTAATAAAAAATAATGAAATCTCACCATTTGTGACAACATAAATGGACCTAGAGGATATTATGTTAAGTGAAATAAATCAGACAGAGAAAGACAGATACCATGTGAGTGTTTCTTTCATATTACACAAGGGTTGCTCAACCTCAGTGCTATTGACATTTGGGTCAGATAATTATTTGTTATGGGAGGCTGTCTTATGCATTGTGGGAAGTTTAGCAGCATCCTTGGCCTCTACCCATTAGATGCCAGTAACGCCCACCTTTCACCAGTAATGATAATTAAAAATGTCTCCAGATTTTGCCAAATATCATTAGTGGGAAGGACCACTTCAGCCCCTAGCCCTGCACTGAGAAACACTGATTACACTGTAAGTTCTCAGGACAGGCTGGAGCTGCCTTCTGTCCTCCTTCCTTCCTTCTTCCCCCTCCTTTCCTTTTATCAATGTTTCCTAAGTGCTCCCATGTATGGGCTGGGTACATATTCCTTACAGTAACTTGTATATAGTGGTTGCTTAGCAAATGCTTGCTTCATATCTGCCAACTGAATCCTAAATGGCAAGAATCATGAAGGTTATGAGCCAATTCTTGTCAAAAGAAAAACATTTTTTCTGAATGCAAAACTTGATGTTGGGGAAGTCAATTTCTGGTTATTGGTCACTGGAGTATCCTTTGTGTCCCTGGAGAACTGGATGACCTGCAGGCTCAAAAGACCCACCTGAATGCGCTCCAAACCTCTACACAGACATGGCAGTGCACCTATGAAGGAGCCAGAGGGGAGTGATAACACTTATTAGGTTTCCAATAAATGCTGATGAATGCATGGCTGACCTGTAATCATGAAGTGAAGCCATATGCTTGGTCTCTAGTTTGAGGTGCCATTTAAAGCACATACCCATTTTCCCAGCAATTATTTCTATCATTCCTGGATAGGGTCTGGTGTGGGAAACGATTCCTAGTTAGATTTCCTATTTAGCCCACCTCGAGAGTGGGCAGTGGGAGGGAGAGCTACACCCTGGGCAGCTCTGGAGCCTCTGCAGGTGCTACATCACTGGAAGGCCTGGTGCTTGTCATCAATGGGAGCTCAGAGAACTGCAAATCAAAGATAACACAGGATGAGTTTCCATAACATCATGCACCTAAATCAGGCAGCCCCTTAATCTTGTGGCAGCTCCGGGCATTCACAGCGCCACCGCCTTTCAGCGCATCAGCCCAAATGGCCCCTCTGGACGGCTCTGCGTGGGTGCCTGTGGCGTGTGAAGTGTACTGCTATAGTGCCTGTTGTCCCACCAGATCACACAGAGCTTGTACACAATCCTGTCTCCACGCATATGTGCATGTTATAGGGAAAGGGTGGAGGAAAGCCCCATAGGAATTAGACCTCACAATAACTATTTCTGTCATTTTTCTCACATATCGTTTCTCCAACTTTTCCACACATATCCCACAGGCCTAACTGGCTGCTTGAATTCTCTCTAACCAGATTCCCTATCCTTTCTCTCTTACCAGAAGGAGGGACATGTGAAGTGATAGCCGCGCACAGATGTTGTAATAAGAACCGCATCGAGGAACGGTCCCAAACTGTCAAGTGCTCCTGTCTACCTGGGAAAGTGGCCGGCACAACCAGAAACCGGCCTTCCTGTGTGGACGGTGAGTAGCCGGTTTCAGATCTCTCTCTAGGTGTCACCTCAGTGCTCACCATGCGTAAGATATATTTTTATTTCATCTAAATATGGTTCAGGATCATGGACAAGGTGCATCAGAAGTAATTGACAGCCTTCATAACAGTCTGAGTTCCTGTTTCTCTGGCTTTCAGATTTTTAAATCGCTCTATGTAACATTTTTTAGAGAAGAAATTTGAGAGTCCAGTTCATATGGGAAGTGATTTTGGATTGCAGTTATATATAATGATGAGGGTGATAATGGTAGTAAAGAAAACAATACCGAACATGCATTTAATACATATTTTTTAAAACATGTTTTTACTGATTTTTAGAGAGAGAGGAAGGGGGAGGGATAGTGAGACAGAAACATAGATGAGAGAGAAACATCATCAATTGTTGCCTCCTGGACACCCTCTACTGGGGATTGAGCCTAAAACCTGGGCATGTGCCCTCACCTGGAATCGAACCCATGACTTCTTGGTTCCTGGGTCAACACTCAACCACCTAGCCACACCAGCTGGGCTCATTTAATGCACATTTAATGAACATTTACTATATATGCCAGCCACTGCTCAGTGCTTCCCATACATTCATGATAGAAGTGTGCCAAGCACTGTCTTAAACACTCCTCACGCATTATTTTATTTACTCCTCTCAACAATTCTATATTCATTATCTATTGCTCTCTAACAAATTATACGCCCCCCGAACTTAGCAGCTTTAAACAACAATCATCTCAGTTTCTGTGGATCAAGAATTCAACTTTGCTGGATGGTTCTGGCTCAGGGTCTCTGGAGTAGTTGCGGTCGAGATCTGACTGGTGCAGGAAGACGATTCTCACAAGACTCACTCACGTGGCTGTCGGCAGGTGGCCTCAGTTCCCTGCCACGTGGACCTCTCCGTAGAAGGCTGGCATCTGACAACACGGCATCCAGCTTCCCCCAGAGCGAGGGATCCAAGAGAACAGCACAGAGGCTGCAATGACCTTTTCCTTCATAATCTAAGTTCAGAAGTTGCACTTAATTGTTTCCATGATATCCCATTAATTACACAAGCTGGCCCGGTCCGTTCAGTGCAGATGTGGACTGTAGGGCTTGAAGACCAGGAGTCAGTGTCACTGGGCCAGATGCACTTGCCCTCCATTTAAAACAGGAAGAAACTGAGGCTTAGACAGGCAAAGTAATGCTTCATCAGTCCCTTGGCTGGTAAGTAGTAGCTCAACTAACTCTCAATCGCTGAGCAACTGACTCTGATAATACTAGGTCCTGTGCACCATCTTTCAAGCAATTTTGTCTGCTCCATCAAACAGTGAGTCCAGGGTTCAAAGAGACCACAGATTTCTCTTCCCAGCTTAAACTTTTATACTTTTAGAGCCAGGTATGTGTCTATCTTCAAACTCTTCAGTAAGGAAATCAGGGCTCAGAGAAGTGAGTCACATACTCAGGATCACACAGCAGGAATTGGAACTTGAATCTCCTGGCTCAGGGTTCATTCTTCTGCCTCCAGATATAGATGGGGAAGAAGCACCTTCTAGTTGGGCTCATGTTAAGTATTTTCATTATGAATCGTTATATGGTTAGTAAGAGAAACACACTAAAACTGGACCAGGTAAAGAAGAAGTTGGGGTTTTTTTGTTTGTTTTTTTAATATGGCTTTATTGATTTCAGAAAGAGGAAGGGAAGGAGAAAGAGAGAGAGAAAGAAACATCAGTGATGAGAGTCATTGATCGGCTGCTTCCTGAACGGCCCCCACTGGGGATCGAGCCCCCAACCCAGGCGTGTACCCTGAGCGGGAATCGAACCACGATCTCCTGGATCCTAGGTCGATGCTCAACTGCTGAGCCACACTGGCTGGGCAGGAAGTTATTTTTTAAAATAGAGAAATCCTGGGGGACCCAATCACAGGAAATTCAGCCAAACCTCATGGTGTTCAAAACGTCTTCAGGCAGCTGCCATTCGTTTACTTTGTTTCTGACCCGTTTCCTTCCGTCTCCTCTGTGTGAACTGGTTCCCTCTTCACAGATTTTAGCTTCTGCCTCCCCATTACTCAAGGACTAGTGTGAAGATTTTATTTCCTTCGTGCCTCCTCTGATCTCACTCAGCATCAAGGTACATCCCAAGTACATTTGACTAGTTCATACATCTTAAATGTGTTCTCTGAAAACAATAAATGTGATTGGCCCTGCTTGGGTCACCTGTCAACCTTTGCCCAATTAGCCACAGTCAGGGGGACAAACTCATGTGGCAAGTACAGTTGCTCATTTTGTTCTATTGGAAAGGTCAAGCTTCTATTTCCTCTTTGTTTTATTTTATTTTTTTTAAAAGGGTGTAAGAAGTGAGGTTAGGAAACACACTGGGACCTACAGCTTTCGATCACGGTGATTCTCCGGTTGTTTGGCAATGTCTGGAGAAATTTGGGTCTAGACGTCTGTTATAACTAAGGGGGTGCTGCTGACACCTGCGGGGTAGAGCACAGGGACGCTGCTGAGCACCCTGCAATGCACAGGACTCACCCCACAACAAACTTAGCCCAAAATGTCAGGGGTGCTGCTGTTGAGAAACGCACAATGATTATTTCTAGACCCCAGTCAACACGCAAGGTGCCTCCAGTGCAGGGCAGGCAGGCACTAGACCAGAAAAGCCATCTCGCTCTCTTACCAGAGAAAACTCTTGGTCCTGGAGGCCAATAAACATCAAACCACGGTGGCTTCTCAGGTTTGCCAAAGAAAGCGCCGAGTCTGTTCGCTCTAAATCTCCATTTTGTTTCAGTTCATTTTCTCTCTAATGATCTAGAAATATGATTGCCTTCAGGGCTTGAATGCCGGGCCCTGGGAGCCGTGCCCTGTCTCCTCGGGCAGCGGGTGGCGGGGGGGACGGCAGCTGCCCTAGGTGTCTGCTACAGCGGTGACATCCTGACGCTCCGGACGGGTTTGTTCGACTTGGGAACTGAGCCCGTTAGCGTGGGAGGTCCAGGCCGCGGGCTGTCAGTCTCCATCTTCCAGGTGCAAGTCAAAGTATGGAGGGTTCGAGAGTCTCCGCGGATCATTTCGTTTCCTCGAATCCGCTGGCACAGATGGGAAAAGTCCACGTGTTGCTGTGATCAAAAGTGATTTAATGCCTAGATCTCTGCATGCAAATTAAATATGAAGTTTATGTATAAATTAATTTCTAGTACAGTTATTAAGATCATGAACTGTGAAATTAAACAGCTCTGACCTTGGGCGAGCTACATTTGTTTGCCAAGCCGTGTCCTCACCTGTAAGACGGGGCGGGGGCTGCCCCCGGCCGGCGGGGCTGCGATGAGGGAGGAAGTCGTGCGATGTCGCGATCGCGTAGTGGCTCGTTCCCACCGAGCGCTCCCTGAGCGATGACCTCGCCGTCCGGTGTCACTAATGCGAGCCCGTCATGCTGAGAAGGGGACATCACTTTACGGAGGTTTGTTTTATATTAATTCAACACGGTGGCATTTTTGTCACCACATTTCTTGGAGCCGTTTCTAGCTATTTATCCTGGATACACCAAGGCCATATTCAGGAACTTGAAAGCCGAAAAAATGCGTCAGTACATTAAAATCACCCATGACATTGCTGCTCAAAGACTAATGTTGCTCTATAAGGTGACAATATATGGCTCTCCAGGCTTAACCCCTCACCCACCATGTACTTTATTAAACTAAAATATTATACTGCTGTTTTATCGACAGCTTGTCTCACTGAATATATGATGAGCATTTCCCAACTTAATATATATGCTTCAAACATTGTTGCTACTAACCACAGAGGGTTTCGGGGTAGACACACACCTCATCTATCTCCCACGCTGGCACTTGTGCAGTGCTCTGTGCATGTCCCTTTCTCAGCCCAGGACAGAGAGAAGCCAGCTCTGTCCTTCACGGCAGTTGACAACCCACGAACCACATTTGTCCTAGACATATTCTGTCATACATGGTGCCTTTCCCATGGCAATTGTCCCCATGGCCGGTATCTGCTTTTCCCTGAAATCACGGGGAGGGGCAATTTCTACAGTGTTTTCAAAAGCAGAGGAACAGCAATGACTGTAATATAAGCAGATGCTGGACTGTTTGAAGATTCAAAAATCTGAGACCAGATTATTTAAAATAGACATAAATTCTGCAGTACAACCCTAGCAACTTATTTAAAAGTATGCTATATGGTACTTGGAGAAATTTTTAAGTAGTGGGTTTTAGTTTTTAAATGATATTCTATAGCCCAGCCGGGCGTGGCTCAGTGGTTGAGCGTCGACCTGGGATCCAGGTGATTGGGGTTCGATTCCTGGTCCGAGCACATGCCCGGGTTGCGGGCTCAATCAATGACTCTCTCATCATTGATGTTTCTCTCTCTCTCTCTCTCTCTCTCTCTCCTTTCCTCTCTCTGAAATCAATAAAGATGTATTTAAAAAAATAAATAAAATAAAATAAAAAATAAAATTATATTCTATAGCCTAATACCTGAAAATAGCAAAAAGCATACTCCACAACTTAACTTTGGGAGTACTCATTGTAAATATTATAAAAAGCATTATACCTTGGAGTTGTTTCCAGCACGATTTTGAAGGTATGTGTCATTACAGTTTCATTCACACCTGTCGTGTTTTAATTATTCCATAACTGAAAATGGGGGAGGACACCTTACTCAATATCTTTGGTTGAGAGAAACTCAAAATACAATTTACAGCCTTTGATTAATCTCCAATTACAGTTGACCCTTGACAACACTGAGGTTGGGGAACCCCCCCACCCCCGCCCTTCAGCCCCACATAGTTGAAAATTCGTGTATAACTTTTGACTCTAACGTTTGCCCTTCAACACTGTGGATTCAACCAACAGAGAACCAAAAATGATATTTTCCATTCAAAATTGAAACCATGATTGATGCAAAATTACCCTTTTTGATCTGTGGTTGGTTGAAGCCTGCGAATATGAAGGGTCAGCTGTATGTAAGTCCACATATAAGTAGACCCATGTGGT